TACTTCACTGTGGGATGAAAGCAAGGTGACCAGGAAAATCTGGTCACGGGTGCTCAGCAGTACTTTTCTACCTCACATCCTCCAGAGCAAGTAAGATCCATCCACTCACTGTGGGGACAGCACTCACAGCCCTCCAAACAAAGTTGGATTTCATGGTGGATATAAAATATGGATTCAATCTCTTCTTTCGTGCTAAAAAGCCACACTTACGGTGCTTGCTCTTCAAGAATTTTCAAGAATATGCACTGAGTAGCTTGATGCAAAATTAATTAAAGGCTATGAATGACGGTATGTGTATCCATTCTTGTATCATGCATGTGATACACTGGAAGAAATTAGGTTACAGTTCTTCTAAGTTATTAAATGCTGCTCTGGCTAACTACTGTGATTGTACAGACTACAAGCAGGTTCAGGACAAGACTGTAGGTAAGTGGTCAGTGGCCACCGTGTGATCAGAGAAAAGCCAGGTACTCACTTCTCTACTTCCAAGCTAATTGCCTGCAACAGTGCTGCTCCCTGTGAGTTCCCTTTGGTGACTTATACTTTTGAGGGAACCACTGCTACAACCGTGAAGGCTTGGACCTGAGCCCTGCTGCTCTATAACATTGATCTCACCGTAACAGTCTTGCAACCTCAGAGATCTGCTCTAAAGCAAAAGGCCAGATTCACAGGCTGTGTCTCAATTGCCTCTGTAATGTTCTTTAGAATATGGGAAAAAAAGTCATAGGAAACTATAAGCTGTTGGGGAAAAATTCATAGGAAAATATATATAAGCTGTAAACTCAGCATTACTAGATGGTATGCTTTATTTTGTATTCTTTGGTATCTTGGTGAATTTGCCCATAAATCAGTGTTGCTACTGCATGTTTCATCTAATAAGTGATATTAAATAATGGTATTCTTTTTGCTGTTTTTTTTTGGTCTCAATTAGCATGAAATTTTGTTTTAAAATTTTAAAATTGTATTAAATGAAGAATATTATCCAGCAAAACTATCAAGTATAAGGTTAGGAATTGGAATCTATATTGTTAACTCAAGACTACCACACACTACAGAGCAAAGCCTTTTAAAGAATACTATACAATACATTACAGATCTAAGCTTTTCAAAGCAGGATATGCAGGATTAAGGCTACATTTAAATCCAAACATGATAAAAGGGAAAAAACAAATAGGCAAAACATGACTGCTTTACAGCAATGTTATGTAAGAACTTACATAGGGAAGTAATTAATCCCCTGGTTCTACCTTGTAATGGTATCAGGAGGGAAAAAAGATATTTTAAAACATTTTTTTTTTGTCTTTATCTAATCTGATACCATAAACACTAAAACACTTTAATGCAAACTGTATGTCTGTTGCCATCACAGTGCAAAGCTCATTTGGTTTGTGAGCCTCGGTCCTGTATGTTTCAGCACATTTCGTTTTCTCTTCAGTACCAGCTCAGCTCTGACATTTTTGGGAGTTTGTGACCACTGAAATACTTCGCTTTGTGACACTTTTCAAATAACCACGACATCATCTGTACTACATTCTATTTTCAATTTTGTGACAGATATTCTCAGTACTGACTCAGTCTTGAAGTTACTTGTGTTTTCAGGCAAAAATGCTAAGATTACACTATCCTTTGGGACTATGTATACTGCCTACATAATATATATATCTATCTTGTAAGCAGCTTAGGATAGGGACCATGTATTATATAAAGTGGAGCATATAACCAATGCCCTTATTTAGTAATAACCCATGTTCTCACTCCTTCTGACTGTAGTGCCTGGTGGCAGACAGGGATTTATTCAGGAGGAGATGAGTGGTAGCACAGTAACATCAACTAAAATTTACACTTGTTATTCCTGCCTTTCTCATTCAAAGTTGAAGACAGCAAGCAGCCAGTGATGTAAACTCCTTGGTAATCGATATGTGTAAAAGGTTTCTAGATCCTCTCCATGTTGTTCCATCTTCCACCTCCCCAGGAAGAAATGCTTTGATGGAGATGGCAGCATTATCCGCAGGAGGGTACCGCTGCTCCCCTCCCTTCTTCCCTCACTCCCCCGGGCTCCCAGAGAAATACACTGCCTTTGAAACTCACGTGCCAGCATATTATTTAAAGATTTATAGCTCCTGATTCTCGCTTCAGTCCGCTCTTGTGGCTTTGTTTACTTGGCAGGGTGAGGGAGGGAGGAGGGAACTGGATTAGCCTCAAAACCCCACAACAAAAGGCAGAAAAGCTCTGCCTTAGGCATTTAATAATCCGCATTTCTAGAGAATTACTGAATATGCTGGAATTATCTCTAGAAAATTTGGTGTATTTTAAAATAGTTATTCATAGCACTTAAGAAACACTTCACATCAAAATAGATTTGAAACCAATAGGAATTTTGTCTAACCACTGTCACATACCATAAGAGAGAAGCAAACCAAAATGTTCCTTTTTTATCTACTTTACCTTTAGAAGTATATATGTTACATAGATAAAAATAATCAGAACCACTGAGATGGGAGTGTTGGGAAAAGGAAGGGGAAGCAATTCAGGTTTCTGGTCAAGTGAATAATTATCTTCCCATTTGTAAAGACCTTTACAGCTGAGAGAGGGCTACAGTACTTCCCTGAACATAATGTGGGGAGAGGACTGGGGTATTGCTTTTGTTTTCTTTCCTAACTTTGGTATATCAAGTATTTGTAGTTTGATCACAGTAACAGTAGGCGTTCCAAAAGAAACTCTGATGGGAAAAAAGAAGCAATTGAGGTGTGTGTACATGTTTATGTGTGACAGCTGATTAGATTTCACAGCTTGTTGACTAGAATAAATACCTGATATAAAATCATGAAGTTGTACTTTGCAGCAAAAAGCGAGATGAAGGCCAAACTTTTTATTCATCCCCGTAATAAATGTATATATATTGAAACATTACGGCTTGAATCAGCTCGGATTTGGAAATGCAGAACTGACTGGTATAGGCACAGCAGAGCATTTTTATTTATCTGTACAGCTGCCTACAGAGGGGGAAAATGAAGTCATGTTAAAAATATTCTAGCTGTGGTAAACACAGTAGAATAATCTGTGTGAGGTTCATCTCTTGAATTTCTCTAGACATCAAAATGTGAGATACTTCAAGCCTTTGTTTTCAGGAGAATGATAGTACCTCTAAATTGAGGTCAGTTTGCCCACTTCTATATTTCTGAATTGTCATGGGTCACTTTTCCCTACTGTCCTTAAAGAGAATGACTATCAAGCTAACCTTTAGGTTCTTGCATTTGAGTTCTATAAATCCCACCAGTTTATGAAATTATTTACCCCAACTGTAATGTTTTACTGTAGTACAAATAAAATGAATAGAAGTCTGTGTGGGCTGCAGCAAAGAACTTCTGCTGTTGATATGCAGATATGAGTCCTTTTTCTGAGTATCTTGTTGTAGTTTATGGAACATTTTGAGCTGCCTTAGCAGTGACATCTAGACTAGTAAATTAAATAGTGCTATGGATCATCCCCAGGCACTGCAGCTTGCTTGCCTATAATGTCAGATAGTTAGAACAGTCACTGGCCCACTTTTGCCCTGTGCCAGCTAGTATTCTTTCCAAACACTTCCTGATTATAGTTCAGGAATTAGCGTGGATTAGTGACTGGTCCCCTTAGGCAGTCTGGATGAGGTCAGCTTCATGAAAGACAGCTTGGTAGTACGAATGCCAGCTCGTCTGCGCCAGTTGGCCTCAGAGCCAGG